GTACATGATTTAAAGAGCCAGTTCTACAGGGTAAAGTTTCTGGCTTCGGGGTGAGGAGCGTAAATCAGGACATCGTCGAGCTCGCTCAGGCCAGCGGCTCTTATTGCGCGAACAGTCAAGAGACAAGACCTCTTGCCGGAAGCACAGAACGACGGAGGCCCAAAACCAAGGGCCAGTAACCCTAAACCCTACACCATACACCATACACCCTAAACCCTAAACCCTAAACCCTAAACCCTACACCCTAAACCCTAAACCCTAAACCCTAAACCCTAAACCCCAAACCCGAACAACCACAGCCTAGAACGGGTTTAGGCAGGTTGGGCTTCCAGGTGCCGTATATCCCCTATGTGGACCCTTTAGGGGATTCTAGATGGTACCGAATTCCCTCATTCCCTCATTCCCTACCAAGACTCAGATAGGCTTCGACCTAAAGCCTAAACCCTAAACCCTAAACCCCAAACCCTAAGCCCTAAACCCTAAACCTAGACTCTAAGATCTAAACCTTTCAGGCTATCTGTGGCGCTGAGGGTCAGCGGAAGTGACAGCGAGGCCGCAAGGAAGTACTGCACGACATGCCAGAGCTCCCGGATGAGGGACGCCTTCAGGGTTTAGGGTTCAGGGTTCGGGGTTTAGGGTGTTTTTTTTTTCGATTTGGGGTCTGACAAGGATTACTGTGGGGTGAGGGCCCTAAACCAAAACCGAAACCCCAAAACCCTATTCCTGACCCAAAGCGCCCCAATCCTGAACTCTGTCTGCCAGAAACCTCTCACAAGAAAGCTATACTCCGATCTCGCTTATATAATGGGGTCACCAAATCTGGAGTTTGGGTTTAGAGTTCAAGGTGTAGAGTTTAAGGCAGTGAAGAGACCCATTACACTGACTTTACTTAGGGGACGTATAACTTAAAACCCAATAAGCCCCTTACACCGCTTACACCTCTCCTTAACCCTGAAACCCTCAACCCAGATGAGTCTGTAGGCTTGTATAGGTACTGCTGCAGGGGCTGGAATGAGGCGCACGTAAGGACTGTTCCAAGTACCCACTCGTCTAGCCCTTAAAAAGCCAGCAAATTAAGTTTAAACCCACTATGACCCTAGTGTAGAAAGCCCTAAACCCTACAGTAAACCAGCAAGCCCTCAACCCTGAACCCAAAATCCTATGTAGTGTAAAAATAGGCCTAAACCCGAAACCCTGAACCCTCACCAGTGTAGAAAGCCCGAAGGCCCCAAATCTGCGATCTTGAGAGCCCTGCAACCGGCCTGCAAGAAACATGAAAAATATTACCCTCGTAAGGAAGAGTAGTTGTATGTATGTATATATATATATGTATGTACGTATGTATGTATAAATAACTATAAAAAAATATAATTATAGAATTATAGAATTATAGAAGTATATATTTATATACTTATATAATTATATATATATATATGTTTGTGTTTTTTTGGGGGGGTCTTAGACAATGGTACATCTTTATGTGGTCCCTTGAAAACATCGGCGACACAAACGCAAAGCAAGTAAGTTTGCAAAGGGGGGGCGTAGGGGAAATCGCTCTTTCGGTCGGTTCAGGGTTTCAGGCTCAGGGATTCGGGCTTCTACTGTAGGGCAAGAAGAGAAGGCAGCAGCCCACCGGATGCCCAACAGCCCTCCGCTCTTTGCGCCTGGGTCTCGTAGTACATCGGCATGTTTCGCCAAAAGCAAGCATCTGGGATCAGGATCTAGGGTTTCGGGCTTATAAAATTTAGGGTCTAAGGTTTAGATTCGCGTTTCGGGTACAGGGGCTCGCCCCCTCTCTCCTCCAGTGACAACTCGATGCCCTAAATTCTATCACCCCACAGCTGACCCCCCGACCCATCCGGGAAAGCCCCAGCTTGCGTAAATATAGAGTTCGGAATAGCTAGTAATAGTATTCTCTTATGGTCCCTTAATCAGTATACCATAACTACCTCCCCCCCAAAACCCTATTCGAACTACTAAGGCCCCTATATTGCATCCTAAACTAAACTCTAAAACCCTGAACCTCAGCCTCAGACTTGCTTTCAACAGCTAGGCATACCCCACAAAGCCACCTGCTATGGGGTAGGAGCCCTTCTCAGCCTTGAGGAAGAAAGCGAAACAGGGGTTCAGGGTTTAGGGCTTCATTGCAAAGACTCCGATAGGTTTAGGATCGATATCTATGGATTCGTCTTTATGGCTTCTGTGGTTCACCTTAAACCCTAACCCCTAACCCCTAACCCCTAAACCGTAAACCCTAAACCCTAAACCCTAAACCCCTCACCGGCTCCCGATACCTCTGAAGCCGTGCCGAGCTGCTCACACCCCTGGAGGGTGGCTGCGGCAAAGGGAGGACCTGGCCAACCAATGGTGAAAAGGTTTAGGGTTTAGGGTTTAGGGTTTAGGGTTCACGGTTCAGGGTTTTTGGGGTTTTTGGGGTTTTAGGGGTTTGAAAGTTCGGTGGTTTGGGGTTTTTGGGCTTTGGGGCCCTCCGTCCCTCGATCCCATCCCGCACCTAACCTCAACTACTCTTCGAACTCAATTGAAGAATATATATATATATACATATACATATATATATATATACATATATATATATATACATATACATATATTTAAAGGATCCCGAAAAAGGACCCGAATTTAGAGAACTAATCTCATGGGTTCCCCTACCAGCCCCCTCGATGCTACAACCCCTAGGTTCCCCCCCATAATTTAAGGCTATCTAGGAATAATTATAAGGGGGGAACCTAAAAAAGGGTTAGTATAGAGGGGGGTAGTAGGAGAACCCATGATACTCACATGCCTACTTAGGAGCCTCTCTTGAAAAATGAGCAGCGGGAGGAGATTTGGTTGACATCAGTTTGGGGTTTAGGGTTTAGGGTTCAGGGTTCACGGTTTAGGGTTTAGGGTGTTGAGACCTCGTAGAAGAGGTGCTGGACCAAAGCCAGGATGTGCCGATCTGCGTAGGCAACCTCGCACGCAACAAGAAAGGCTGCTGGTAAGCAAGGGCTGCAAATGAGGGTCTTAATTTAGGTATAGAGCTTAGGGTTTAGGGTTTAGGGTTTAGGGTTCAGGGTTTAGGGGTTTAGTTTCTAAGGCAGTTACATGGTCCCTTAGTATGGGCCCTTGATTGGGGACCCCTTGTATACCCCTTCTTACCCTATACAACCCAAGGGCGTATACTTCAGAACCCTTTAGTCGAGGTAAGGGACCATATACGGGGCCCCTGTAACTACCCTTAGATAGTTTACCTAAACCTCCCCAAAGTACGTGAGATAATGGTTCTTTGATCGGTTTCGGGCTCTTTGCTTACATACTCTGGGGGGTCCAGGGTCTGAAGCTCGGCATAAGGGGTGTGGAATTGAACAAGGGCACTTCTGTCAAGCATAGCTACTCGTGACTCCAATAAAGAAACATGTGCGCTTCACCTGTTTTTGCACATATCAGCTCTAGGTGAGAGTACTTTTTGAAAAAACAACTGTAGCGTTTAGTTTAGGGATGAGGGTTGTAGGTTTGTGGTGGGGTATGGCGACTGGTATGTCACACAGAAGAGGTGAGTAAGAATTTTGGGCAACCCTGTTGGGCCTAAACCCTTGACCCTAAACTCCTGCAATGATCCACGCAAGGAACCCTAAACAGCAAACTAAATTAGTGCCGAATACACCCCCTGACAAGGTAGTAACAAGCCCAAACCTGAAACCCAACGTTGCGCATGGTTAAAGAAACTGAAAAACCATGCTGTTCTACTCTAAATATGAACCTTCGATGGCAACTTAGCTTAAGTTCCTTATGCATAAGAGCCCAGTAAGCCATGCAGCCAACCGGACAGGACAACACCCCTAGTCCTAAACCCTAAACCCTAAACCCTAAACCCTAAACCCTAAACCCTAAACCCTAAACCCTAAACCCTAAACCCTAAACCCTAAACCCTAAACCGTAAACCCCAAACCCTAAACCCTAAACCCTAAACCCTAAACCCTAAACCCTAAACCCCACCCCAGGAACTGCCGACAAGACACCAAACTGCGCTGGTTCATCAAGAGGGCGCACCCCCGCACCTTGCGTCACACCACTATATCTTATACCCCTAAACCCTGAACCTTAAACCCTAAACCCTAAACCTTCCCAAAAGTAGATCGACAGTGTTCTAAGGGAATGCAAGGCACAGTTCCACTTTCTCACCCGAGGCACGCACTTCTACACCCTAAACCCTCAACCCTAAAACCCGTTCTGTTGCAAGGCCCCCTGAGCGAGGGAGTGCATGTGCTACTTTGGGGGGGAAACCATAAACCCTAAACCGTACTACTTGAGTCTTCGAGGTTCATGGGTACTTACAACCCCTTGAGGGTTAAGGGTTGAGAGTTTAGGTTTAGGGCTCAGGGGTACTTATAACCTCTGAGTCCCCTAAGGAGGCTATAAGTACAACTAGAACTGGGGTTTTGAGTACCCATGGCAAACCCTACACAACCCTAAACCGCAAATCCCTTCTTTTAAGGTTGTGGGCTTGGGGGTTTTATTTAGGGTTTAGGTTTAGAGGACTCTTTTGGGGATTTGGGTTTTGGGGTTTCATGTGGGGGTTTAGACCAAAGATGGTTTCCAACACTTGTAGATGCATCTTCTTCTTCATGAAACGGAGCTGTGCTGGAGGTGCATTGCGTCAATGTTATAGGGGGGGTAGGGTTTAGGGTTTAGGGTTCAGGGTTCAGGGTTTAGGGTTTAGGGTTTAGGCCTAGGCTGGGTGCTTTGGGTAGTCTGGCCTGGCATGCTACAGGGAAAATAATGGCTTCAGGCTCCAGCCCGGCAACTCTGGGTGACCCTGACACCTACAAGTCGACGCCGACGCTGGGAAGTCACCAGGTTTAGGGTTCAGGGCTCAGGGCTCAGTGCTTAGGGTTTAGGGGTTCAGGGTTTAGTGGTTTAGGGTTTAGGGTTGAGGGTATAGGGTTGAGGGTTTAGGGCTCAGGGCTTCGGGGTTTGTAAGCTCCCCGAAGTCTGGGGGCTCATTCATCTGCGGCAATGAAGGCCTGGAAGTCTCGGATGTCATGCTCGATGAAGCTGAAGCCCATCCTTTGAAGATATGCCACTTCTGCGGTCTGTGACGCGCCCAGGCCGCCACCCTCCCGAGCTTTCGCTTTCGCAGCCTCGTCGCAAAGCTGATCCCAGGGCACCTTTCCTTGGCCCGTGCGACCTTCGAAATAGAACACGTGCAGCTCCTGATGCAGCTGTGCCGCGAAGTCCGCGTTCTTTTTCCACTCCTCGAACCTAGTTCATGGTTGGGATTGTATTAAAAATTGGAATCTATATTCCTTATTGGGTCTAAGTACCCTTGAAAATCTAAAATGTTACCCAACTATGACAAAAGAACCACTGGCACCCCCATGGTGCCCGTCCATCTTTCGCCCAGCAAAGCTGCTGGGCCTTGTGAGTAGCCTCTGCAAGCTCCCTCTGCCATGATATGTCGGACTGGTCGCTTTTGATCACGAGTAGCTGGCCCATAGCCTCAGCATCGCTGCGCTTAAAAGCGAGCATCTGTCGGTTGTCCGGGCTGTCAATACGATCTGGATCCACCTCCACTACGTTGAGATATGTTTCGGCTGGAACCTGGCCATAGATGCCTTGGTTGGCTCTTAACACCCTCAGAAAAAAACCCAAAATAAGATCTTCATAAACCCCAGAAGGGAGAAGATAACATATCCCAATGGCCAAGTCCTCAGAAAGCACTCCTAATAAATGGGGGTTTCGGAAATTGGGGGTACCTTCTTGGGGTCCTTACTATACGGGAATCCTACTATTTGGGTTCTATACCAAGGGGTTCCTTATTTTCCTAAACCCCCAAATGAGATTTTTCACAAACACCAGGAGGGACAGCGAAACATATCCCAATGGCCAAGTTAGATGCTATGGCACCAGCACTTCCCAGGCGTATCAAGATTCTCAGCATGTTGTCCAAGGCCAGAGGCGGCATCGGTCAAGAAGACGCAAGCCAAAGACCAGGAATCTGTCCCAGTCTTCCCGGCCTGAGACGTCACGGCAGAAACAGCTTCGTCCCACAGCTCACTGTACTTGCCCGGGAATGACACGATGCACTTTGTGGCTCTCTCATTGATATGTCCCGGGAAAGCGATGCGCTTGGATGCAAAGCCAAATCCAGAGAGGTCTGCAAGCTGGCGGAAGGCGTCCATGGGACGATTCCATTGCTTTGGCCCAACCACTCCGCTGAGCGCGAGGGTGTTGCAAATTTGGAGAAACAAGTCGAAAGTCAGCCATGATCCGCTGGTCACTTTCCATTTGCTGAGAAGGATGTCGCGAGTCAGGTAGGTGTAGAAGGACCAGAAGCTCAGAGCGGGCCCTAGCAGGACCAAGACAGCGCTTCCAAGGAGGAGGTGCGCAGTAGATCTAATGGCCTTGTCACCACCGGCAGCCAGCAAAGCTCTGCAGGCAACAAAACAGAGGCTGCAACACTGGGTAAGCAAAATCACACAGCAGCAGAATAAGCTCAAATTTACAACAGCAAGGTCCGTGACGCTAAGCATCGCATGACCGTAGAGGCAATTACGAATTGTCGCTTTTCCGGACAGGAAGAGTATGGACAAAATGCCAAGGATGCCCACAACGTGGCAAAGCTTAGCTGTAAACCCTCGATCCAAGGCCGAGAGCTTCAGATTTGTCATGTGCATCTGCATGCAGTTGCAACCGATCTCCCACAGAAGCGTGCCAAGCACGCACAGGGAGTTCATGGCGAAGGCACTGCCTTGAAAGGCCCAGACGACCAGGCCCAAGAAGCCGTCGTCGCCCACGAAGAAGGCCAGCGAGAAGATCGCTCGGCGGCACCAGAGATGCAACAACGACTTTTCTGAGAATCTGCCATTGTTGCGGAGAAGGAAGTGGACCGCGAATCCTGTCATTACCGGCCGAAGAACCCCATCAAACATCGCGAAATACGAGGCTTCCCAACCCACAGCCAAAACATTGCCAGCAACTCTTGCCAAGGTGTAAACTGCCAGAATCTTTGTAGCGGTCGCTGTCGCGGCGTCAGGCTCTGAGCAAGCCTCGAGTTTCTTACCCAGATCCACGAGGGTTGTCCTCCTACGCGCGAACCTTTGCGGCCGCTCCTCCGCGTTCGCGCCACTCGCATGGCTGGCCCTGATGGGCAGCTCGATGCCTTCTCCAAGAGCATTGGCAGGCATGGCTCAAACAGTTTGGCACCTGTTAGATAGTCTTCATTTGGATGCTCCCAGTCCTTAATAGGGATCATAGTGCCCACGATTATAATCCCCATTTATTCAGGACTGTTAGTATCCAAAATATTCTTGCTTCAATAAACTACATAGGGAAGGAGTGTCTAGTGCGTGCTTCGTCTGTTTGTCCGGTTTGTCTAGTACAGCAACGTCAAGTTCAGCATCGTGCAGAGTTTTGTGCAAGACTGACATGGATCAACAGGTCATGAGGTGCCTCTCTACGTCTGAGGGCTGCACAAACAAGTTAAGGAGTTTCGTACGG